TTGATGTTTCTTTCTCTCCCTCCCTTGATTTCTCTCTAAAATAAATCGATAAAAACATATTTTTTAAAAAAAAAAAAGATCAAGAGTTGCTAGGGATGGAGGTGACGGGGTGGGGAAATGAATAGGTAGAACATAGAAGACTTTTAGGGCAATGAAATACTCCATATTGACATGATGGATACATGTCATTATAAATTTGTCTAAGGCCATAGAATGTACACCAACAGTGAACCCTAAGGTAAACTATGGACTTTGAGTGATTATGATGTGTCAGTGTAGGTTCATCAATTTAGGTATACAGTGTGTAACACTCTGATGGGAGATACTGATAATGGGGGAGGCTCTACATGTATGGAGGCAGGAGGTATGTGAGAAATTTCTGTACCTTCCTCTATTGTTGTGAACTTCAACTACTCTTAAAAAAGGTCTTTAAATTACAAAAAAATTAAGCATTGAATTACCATATGACTCATCCACTCCAATTCTAAGTATATACCAAGAGAAATGAAAATATATGTCTAGTACAGCATGGTGACTATAGTTAATAATATTGTACTCCATATCTGAAAATTGCTAAAAGAGTAAATCTTAAAAGTTCTCATCACCAGAACAGAAATTTTGCAACTATGTAGAGTCATGGATGTTAACTGAACTTATTGTGGTGATCATTTCACAAAATATACAAAAAGCACATCATTATGTTGTACACCTAAAACTAACACAATGTTATATGTCAATTATAACTCAAAAAAAAGAAAAATGTCTACATAGAAACTTTGTACATGAATGTTTATGAACATTTTTTGTTATGTCCTTCATAAACATAATGCTGTTGCCATTATTCATAAGAGTCAAAGGTAGAAACAACCCAAATGTCCATTAATAGATGAGTGGATAAACAAATTTTGATATATACATTCAATGGCATATTATTCAGCCATAAAAAGAATGAAGTACTGAAGGATTAATGCATGTTATAATGTGGACAAACCCTGAAAACTTATGCTAACTGACAGAAGAAAGACACACTAAGTCATACATCATATGATTCCATTATGCAAAATATCCAGAATAGGTCAATCCATAGAGACAAAATGCATATTAGTGGTTACTAGGGAGAGAGGTGAGAGGGAAATGAGAAGCCAATGTTTAACAGATAGAAGGTTTTCTTTGGGGGTGATGAAAATGCTTTGGAACTAGAGGTGGTGATTGTACAACACTGTGAACATACTAAATGCCATTGACCTGTTCACTTTAAAATGGCTGATTTTGCCCTGGCCAATTTGGCTCAGTGGTTGGAGTATTGGCCTGCGGACCAAAGAGTCCCGGGTTCGGTTTCTGCTAGGGGCCCATACCAAAAAACAAAAACAAACAATAAAATAAAATAAAATGGCTGATGTTATGTAGTGTGAAATCCACTCAACTTAAAAAATGAGAAAAAGGGAAAATTATAAACAAAGTATGGCTCAGTTGGTTGGGCGTCGTCTGGTGCACCTAAAGGTTGCTGGTTCGATTCCCAGTCACCACACATGCCTGGGTTGAGGGCTCCATTCCCAGTAGGAGACATGCAGGACACAGCTGATTAAAGTTGGCATTTCTCTCTTCTCTCTTTCCCTCTCTCTAAAAATCAATAAACTATTCTTAAATAAATAAATAAAAACAAAATTTAATCTTTACTTTTTAAAATAAGTTCTACTGAAATACAATCCATATATCACACTATTCACCCTTTCAAGTGTACAATGCAATTGTTTTTAGGTAGCCACAGAGCTGTGCAACCATTACCACAACTTTAGAATACTTTTATCATCTCTCCCCCCAAATATTGGTACACATTAACAGCCACTTCTCATTCCCTCTTCTCCCCCACCTCTTGTCAACCACTAATCCACAGTCTCTAGAGATTTGCCTATTCTGTACATTTCATAGAAATGGAGTCATATGTTGTGTGGCCTTCTGTGACTGGCTTCTTTCATTCAGCAAGTTTCCAGGGAATCTCCTTTAACTATAAAGTTTATGCCATGTATTAAAATGTAAGAACAAAGTAAGGAGAATATTAAAGAAGTACTATAAAAAGAAGATTACTGAATATAAGAGCAGATCAAGAATCAAAAACAATCCAGTTAAAATGATTTATAAACTATAAATCAATAAATTTGAAGCAAAATCTAATTAAAGTAAGCAAACTAGGATAAAACAAATATATTAGGGGAAGAATTTTACAAAACAAATTACTTGTCAAAGAGAACATTTTCCCTAATGCAGGTGTAGTAAAAGCAATCACAAGGTCTAATTAAAATGAAAAAGAGGGCCCTGGCCGGTTTGGTTCAGTGGTTAGAGTGTCGGCCCGTGGTCCAGAGTCCCGAGTTTGGTTTCCGCTAAGGGCACATAGCTTGGTTGCAGTTTGTCCCCGGCCCCAGTTGGGGTCATGTGGGTGGCAACCACTCGATGTGTCTTTTTCACATGGATGTTTCTCTCTCTCTCCCTTCCTTTCTCCCTCCTGCTCTATCTGAAGAAAAATGCAAAAATGTCCTCACGTAAAGATTAAAAAAAAAAAAAAAAAGTAGAAAGAGGAAGAGCAAAAAACTATTACCTCGAAGTGTGGTCCCTAGACTACCTGCATCAAAATCATTTATTAACTTTTTAAAAAATCAGATTTCTGATCTGTGTCCCAAACAATCACCAAAGATGGGACCCTGGAAACTATTTTTAATAAGTACTCCAGATGACTCTCATGCATACTAAAATTTGGAACTAATATCTAAGTAACACAAGTTAATGTAAATTACTAAATGTATGCAAGAGCCAAGAGAATAGTGACAAGAGCAAAATGCATGAAAAGGGGGGAAAAAAAGCAAAGAAAAAAATAAATTAAAATGTGTCACGTTGTGAAAACATAAAATGATGTTTGAAAACTCTTGTAAATTTTTTGTGTGTGTGTTGGAAAAAAATTTTAAATGTGTAAAAATGCAGGCCATTCACAGGTGTGAAGACCACTCAGGGTATGACACAGAAAGCACTCATCAATGTAAAGTCCTGTAGTAGAGAGTACATAATGGATTCACCAATGTTTGCTGACAATGTTAACTATTTTTATAGCAAGTAGTTATGTTTAAGTATCTCCATCCTAAACTCTAATAACCTAGACAAGAACCAAACTTTTGCTGTGGTAATCTTTACATGAACAATAGCATAAATTGTCAAACATTATGTCAAATACTGACATGCAAGCTCAGGCTCCAGACATTTACCTTCAGACCAAGTTAATCTCTATTTTTATGGTACGACTTATATAAACAAGGACAGGTAAAACTAGAGTTAAATGTCTCAAGACTAATAGCACTGCATGACAGAACTCAAATTTCCTTGAAAAAAAATCACAAAAATATGTATACAGACAGCCTTTATTATTCTAATTAAGCAAAGATTCCTGAAGGTGAAGTATTTACTAAATTCTAACTAATAATTTTACTTCAGTGAGGAAAGTCCATTTTGGTTTCATAGGGATAAAGAATGGAAGTTTACATTATGTAGCTCTCAAAAGATGTCACTATCAGAATGCAAAATTTGTCTACTTTCCCCATAAAAATGCATCTTTCCCCTATAAACCCCTAAACCCAATTAAGGTGTTAAGTTTTAAAGCTTCCTTTGAGGGGAGGGGGTTGGGGTAGGGCTGGGTGAAAAAGGTGAAGGGATTAAGCAAAAAAGAAAACAATAGCAAAAAAACAACTCATAGACAACAGTATGGTGATTACCAGAGGGGAAAGGTGAGTGGGGGTAGGCAGGACAGGGTAACTGGATAAATGGTGATAGAAGGATACTTGACTTGGGGTGGTATACACACAATATACAGCCCTGGCCAGTTTGGCTCAGTGGCTGGAGCATTGGCCTGCAGTCCGGAGACCCAGGTTCGGTTCCTGCCAAGGACATATACCTCGGTTGTAGTTTGTCCCCGGCCCTGGTTGGTCGGTGCGGGTGGCAGCCACTCGATGTGTCCCTTTTACGTCGATGTTTCTCTCTCTCTCTCCCTCCCACTCTATCTGAACAAAAAATGGAAAAATGACCTCGGGTGAGGAGAAAAAAAAAAAAGACACAACATACAGATGATGCATTAAAGAACTGTACACCTGAAACCTATACAATTTTATTAACCAATGTCACCCTAGTACATTTAATAAAAATAAATAAAGTCTCCTTTGACTTACTATTTGGATTAAGCCTCATAATGCATTTGGAAACCCAGTTACATTCCATCTAACCCTAAGATACAGATGTTTCAACATTTCCAGACATGATTCTTGCACATCTTATAAACAAAACAAACTACATTGGAGGAATGAAGTAGGTAACACATGCAAATAAATTACATGGAAATGTAATGTTGCTTCCAAAGGGTACTTTTATTCATTATCGACATTTGGCTTGATACATACATAGAGGTCTAAAAGCATCTAAAAGTTCTCTTTGACACTTTTTCCTCTCACAGTTATGTTTCAAAAGTCCTTAGAGTTAAGCCAAGCCTTAAAAGCAGGCTAAGATACAGATGTGTATTCTTCAACAAGGTCTCACATTTCGTTCCAACAGTAAACCAATATTCATCATTAAGACCCAGCTTCCAACTCCCAACTCCCTAGACATCCCTCACATGTTCAATATAGCCTCTTCTTCATACAAGTCCAGTCCAACCTACACACACACACACCATCAGTCTCCAAGTCTTCCACACTGGCACATCCTCTCACATTTACCTGGTTGCTAATCAAGGGCCATTCTTCCTTTTCCTACTGATCCTGTAGACTTGACACTGCCCACAATATCCTGTTCCATTTTTTCCACAATATTCATAACTCAAAGGAACAAAATAAACAAATCCCTTTTCCCTAACTGCAGACAGCGTCTTTAACTCTACACACTACTCCCCCACACTACCACCACCAACCCTATTCTCTGTCCTGCCTTTGTCATTGAGAAGGTGCAGGGTCTGGGAAAATCTCACTCACCTCATGCTATAGGCACCAGCACCCAGTTCCTGGCCGATCCCGGACAGACTAGCATCAAAGTCTTGCACCAGCCCGGATTCAATCACTTCATCGGCCAGAGGCAGCTTCAGAGCCCAAGCCATCCTGGCTCCTTTCTTGCCCCAGGAGACACTGTTTCTTGCACAAAGGTGAGCAGTGTGATTCTACCCAACGGGGGCAAGGGCTGCAGGGAGCTCCAAACCAAGATCACCCACGCAGTACCCACAAGCCACCCCCAGCCCGACCCGCACTAATCTCCCGTATCCCTGGCTCCTTGTTCTGGGCTGCCCGACTTCCAAAGTACCCCCAAACCAGCTCTCTGGGGCCGCGTGAGGACCCTTTTGCTTAATTATTCCAGCCTGCCCAGAGGCAGCCCTGAAGTCCCACACTCCCACTCTGGACTCTCCCTTTCTGCGTGTGGTGGTCACTCGCTGCTTCCCAAACGGACCAGCAGCAGCGACCCAATGCCTAGCCAGCGCTCCCAGGTCGCTTTTGCACCTTTTCCCCCGCCTCCTACAGCTAGGGACCCCCTCCCTCCCGGGACCCGCTCTCCTTTCCCCTCCAGGCCTTGCTTCCGGTCAGCCCCGAGATCACTTCCGGTCAACCCCACGGCTCTTAAAACCAAGTGCAGGTTTCCGCCCAGCGAGCTCCCTGACCTCTGCAGCACCCACACGGCCTCGAAACATGTAAAGGTAAAGTCCAGCACGGGTTTGAAACCCAGACTCGCCAGGTCCCACCACCGCCCGCCGCCCCAACGCCAACCAATCATGGCGCCCTCTTCTTTTGCCGGTCCGGGGAACGTGACGTCACCCTATCGATCACCAATGAAAAAGAGACTTCATTGGCCTAGGCAGTGGTGATAGGCCAGTTTCGCCACGGCTTCCCGCCCCTAAAATGGGCTGGGCGAATTGGGAGGGGACGTGACTTGCGTCAGGTGTCTGGGTTTAAATGTCCCTGCCTGTCGCCGCCTGCGTTCTAGCATCCGCCAGGTACCAGATCGGTTCCTTAGGGCGTGGGTGGAGCCTTCGTTCTAGTCTTACCCAACCCACACTCATCCCCGGGAAAAGGACTCTTGGCCGTTTTCTCCGACGCTATCTACATGCAGTCGTTTGCTCCTTGAATTCTCTCTTTAAACTCACCTCTCTGGAGGTCAAGACTCTGCTTAAGTCCCACTTCCCTGGACGGTCTTCCTAGCTTCCGCATTCTTCCTAATGCATTTGAACACGAAAGCATAACATAGGTTAAAGTGTTGTGGTTTTTGAAAGGTGGTGGTCTGAAAATCAGGATTTGGGCCGGAGTCTTGATTTACTAGTTTGGTGACTTAGAATAATTGCTTAATCTCACTGAGATTTAACTTCCTCACTTGAAATGTAGCTGTAACCATACCTGCTCCACCTTCCTCCTTTGAGAATTAAATAACAATGTCCATTGTTTATTGAGCATCATATATATACTGGGAACTTTCTTACTTTATCAATAATACTCAAGACAATCTTGTAATTAAAATTACAGTATACTTCTAAAGGTAAGTATTGTGATCCTCGTTTTATCAATAAGGAGAGGAGGCAAAGGGCTTAAAATGGGCCAGAGCTAAGTTAATGTGCCAAATTCAGACCCTGACATTTTTCACTACAAGACATTGGCTATATGTGAAAGTATTGGTTCATTGTTGTATTCCATTATTGATTTTTTTTTTTTTTACTACCTGCCTTGAATTAACATTTTGTGTATATTTGCCCTTTTCACTAGACCATAATCTCCTAAAGAATAGAGAATTCTGCCCTGTGGGTATGGCTGAGAGGTTGAGTGTTGACCCATGTGCCAAGAGGTCACTGGTTCAATTCCCCGTCAGGGCACATGCCCAGGTTGTGGGCCAGATCCCCAGTGGGAGGCATGCAGGAGGTGGCTAGTCTATGTTTTCTCTCATCGATGTTTCTATCTCCCTCTCTCTTTCTTTCTCGTTAAAATCAGTAAAGAGCCCTGGCCAGTTTGGCTCAGCGGTTAGAGCGTTGGCCTGCGGTCCAGAGAAACCCGGGTTCGGTTCCCGCTAAGGACACGTACCTCAGTTGCAGTTTGTCCCCGGCCCTAGTTGAGTCGTGTGGGTGGCAACCAATCAATGTGTCCCTTTCACGTCGATGTTTTTCTCTCTCTCTCTCTCTCTCCCCCTCCTACTCTGTCTGAACAAAATATGGAAAAATGTCCTCGGGTGAGGATTAAAAATAAATAATAAAATTAATAAAGAAAAAATTTTAATTAAAAAATAAAAGAAGCCATAGGCTGAAACCGTTCATGCTGTCAGCTTCATGTCAACTTCTTCTTGTTCTTTCTCTTTTTAATTCAAGAAGCATTTTAGCCCTGGCCAGTTTGGCTCAGCGGTTAGAGCGTCCGGAGAGACCCGGGTTTGGTTCCCGCTAAGGGCACGTACTTCGGTTGCAGTTTGTCCCCGGCCCTGGTTGGTCGTGCGGGTGGCAGCCACTGGATGTGTCCTTTCACGTCGATGTTTCTCTCTCTCTCTCTCCCTTCCTCTCTCTCCCTCCCACTCTATCTGTATAAAAAGTGGAAAAATATCCTCAGGTGAGGATAAAAAAAAAAATTAAAAAAAAAAGAAGCATTTTAATTTTAAAGAGTCCTACTGAATGCAGCAACTATATTAGAAGATATGTTTAAAAGTCTTGCTGAATGCAGCAACTATATTAGAAGATATTTTGAACACAAGCCTGAAAAAGGAGTATTCTTTATTCTTTTTTTAAATTATTATTTATTGATTTTATAGAGAGAGGAATGGAGAAGGAGAGAGAGAGAGAAACACAGAAGAAGTCAATGGCTTCTTTTTTTCAATCCTCACCAGAGGATATTTTCCCATTTATTTTCAGACAGAGTGGGAGGGAGAGATAGAGAGAGAGAAACATCGATGTGAGAGAGATACATTGATTGGTTCCCTTCTGCATGAGCCCGACCAGGGCCAGGGACTGAACTGCAACTGAGGTACATGCCCTTGACCAGAACTGAACCCACTACTCTTTGGTCTAGAGGCCAAAGCTCTAACCACTGAGCAACCGGCCAGGGCAACCAGTGGTTTCTTTTTCTAAGGGCTCTAAGCTTACTTATCTTCCTGCCTTAATAAGCCCAGGCATCCAAGTCTTGGTTCATTCCTGTATCATTCAGTATCTCTTCGACCCATATTTTCTTCCCTTGATTCAGTTTTTTCTCAAACACGTGCCTGTGGGTAAAAGAATGGGTCCTGATGCCCTGGTCGGTTTGGCTCAGCGGTTAGAGCATCAGCCTGTGGTCCAGAGAGACCTGGGTTCGTTCCCGCTACGGTTGCAGTTTGTCCCTGGCCCTGGTTGGGTCATGCGGGAAGCAGCCACTCGATGTGTCCCTTTCATGTCGATGTTACTCTCTCTCTCTTCCTCCCACTCTATCTGAACAAAAAATGGAAAAATGTCCTCGGGTGAGGAATAAAAAAAAAAAAAAAGAATGGGTTCTGGGCTCAGAGACCCAAAGAGAAATGTCATAATCAAAATCCTTTGTATTCAAGCATTGTATTCAGAGTATTTTAAAACATCTACTAGATAGAGCCATGACTTGTTTGAACAACAGCTTCATCACTAGGTGCATAATCTTGGGCAAGTAACTTTACATCTCTGAGCTTCAGTATTTTGATTAATAAATTAATGAAAATAATATCTCCTTCTAAAACTGTTGTGAGATCCTGGGCTGATTTGGCTCAGCAGTTGGAGCATCAGCCTGCAGACAAGAGTCTCAGGTTCAATTTCGGTTAAGGGCACCTACGGTGGTTCGGTCCCCGGCCTGCACCAGGGCCGTACAGGAGGCAACTAATCAGTATGTCTCTCTCATGTCAATATTTCTCTCTCTCCCTCTCTCCCTTCCACTCTGTCTGGAGATAAATGGAAATATATCCTCGGGTGAGGATTTAAAAAAATAATAATAAAGAAAAATAAATAAATAAAATTGTTGTGAGGATTAAATGAAGTGACAAAATGCCAATAATTATTATTAAAATAATAATTATTCAATGAATGTAACTTCAGTCTCCCACTAGCCAATTTCCACTTCTCTGTAAGATTGGGTCAGTATTATTATTATTATTTTTTTATCCTCACCTGAGGACATTTTTCCATTTTTTGTTCAGATAGAGTGGGAGGAAAAGAGAAGAGACAGAAAGAGAGGAACATCGACGTGAAAGGGACACATCAAGTGGCCACCTCCTGCACTACCCAACCAGGGCCGGGGACGAACCACAACCAAGGCATGTGCCCTTAGCGGGAACCAAACCCGGGTCTCTCTGGACTGCAGGCTGATGCTCCAACCGCTGAGCCAAACCAGGCAGGGCTGGGTCAGTATTATTATCCTATTTATTTATTATTATCTTTTTTGTTGTTGTTGTTAATCCTAACCTGAGGATATTTTTCCATTAATTTTTTTTAGATAGACTGGAAGGGAGGGAGAGAGAGAGAGACAGAGAGACACATCAATTGGTTGCCTCCCATACAACCTAGACCAGGGCTGGGGATTGAACCTGAAACCCAGGTATGTGCCCTTGACCAAAAAATGAACCCACGACCCTTCGATCTGCAGGCTGATGCTCTACACTGAACCAAACCAGCCAGGGCTTACTATCCTATTTAAGAACATTATTTACATTGTATGATGTGTTATAGTTTTAGTAGTACTTTAACAAATATTCTTATTTAATCCTCATAGAAATTTTTGTTTTGTTTTTATTTATTTATTTTATTATTACTATTTTTTTATCCTCACCCAAGGACATTTTTCCATTTTTTGTTCAGACAGAGGGGGAGGGAGAGAGAGAAACATCAACATGAAAGGAACACATCGAGTGGCTGCCACCTGCATGACCCAACCAGGGCCAGGGACAAACTGCAACTGAGATACGTGCCCTTAGCAGGACCTGAACTTGGGTCCCTCTGGACCACAGGCTGATGCTCTAACCACTGAGCAAAACCGGCAGGGCTTGTTTTTTTTTTTTTTTTTTCTTTATTGATTTTAGAGAGAGAGGAAGGGAGAGGGAGAGATAGAAACATCGATGACAGAGAACATCGATTGGCCATCTCCTGCATGTCCCCTACTGGGGATCGGGCCCACAACCTGTGCCCTGACCAGGAATCAAACCAGCGACCTCTTGGTGCATGGGTTGACGCTCAACCAGTGAGCCACACCGGCCGGGCTGTTTTGTTTTTTAATATGAAGAAACTGAGACTAGAAGAAGGCAGAGTGATCAAGCAGACTACAACCTCTTTAGAAAATTATCCTCGACATTATTCTGTGCTTCAGCAACTTCACTCTACATATATACCCTAGAGAATTCTTGCACATACATACCAGGACACTTGTAATATAATATTCATGGCAGCATTATTTATAGCAGCAAGACATATAAATAAATCAATTCTAGAATTGGGGGGAGGGGTGTACAGAAGTTTTCATACAGTATAACATCACTTTATAAAGATCAGAACTCAGCAAAAATAAGCAATGTATCATTTCAGGAAATATACATTTCTTTAAAATATATATATATATAGACACAACTCTAGATGGTCACATTAAAGAAAGGCAGGGGAGTGGACTGAGGAAAGAACTCAAAAGTAGCTTCAGTAGTAGTAATAGTTTATGTTGAATGGTAGGTCCATAGATGATTGGACTTACAAATGCTTCCTAACTTACAAAATATATTCTTGCCCTGGCTGGTTTGGCTCAGCGGTTAGAACATTGGCATTCGGTCCAGAGAGACCTGGGTTCGGTTCCTGCTAGGGGC